GCTATAGTGGCCAGAGGGCTTGAGTTGTTTGGACTCATGGGACTGTAACAATTGTAGAGATAGTTCTTGACAGGCCACCACCCCTTGGGATGCTGCATAGACAGTCAGAGGGTGAGCGGAGGTGCACTCTTTCTGTGAAGGAGGCCTACTTGTCCTGGAGCTTCCGGGCAGGCTTCAGTGAGGCACACAGCTAGAGCCTGCGAGGGTGCTTGCTCTCAGAGAACGTGGGCTGGGGGACACAGCTTTGCGCTCTCCCTTTGCCTTGCTACCACTCACTGGTGTCTTCCAAAAAGGAGCTTATACACTTGTCTAGAGCCCTGGTTTTTGCAACTGTCACCCAGAGCATATCGCCAGCTGTCCGTGCTCCGGTGGATCATGGGACTTATGCTTGTGGTCCTGCAGGATGTATATTTGTATTCTTTAAAAACTGGGGCCTGCGTGTCTGGCTTCCAGTCAGCTGGAATCCAGCTGCTGACTGAGATCCTCTTCTTTGAATCACTGACTGGTCTTGGCACACCCTCAACATTGGGGAGCGGTGAAAAATAACAGGCTGCCTGGACAGTCACAAAGGTTTGAGAGACAACCAAGAGCTAGGGCAGGGTTGAATGATGTTTATCTCCTTCAGAAGGCTGATCTTTGACTAGGAGAGGTGGCTGTTTTCATCTAATGCAGTGGTTCTCAACCTTCTGGCCCTTTAAATACAGTTCCTCATGTTGTGACCCAACCATAAAATTATTTTCGTTGCTACTTCATAACTCTAATGTTGCTACTGTTATGAATCGTAATGTAAATATCTGATATGCAGGATGGTCTTAGGCGACCCCTGTGAAAGGGTCGTTTGACCGCCAAAGGGGGTCAATGTGCTTCAAATACAGCTTCAAATACAGGTTGAGAACCGCTGATCTAATGCATAGAAACCAATGCAGAGTCATGCAAAAATAAGGAAACAAAGGAATGTGTTCCCAATGAAAGAAAATGATAGAACCTTTGGAAAAACCCTTCATGAAATGGAGCTAAGTAGTCTTCCTGATAAAGTAAGGAGCTGAAGTTAGGAATTGCAAACCAGGCAGAAACTGGAGTGGAGGAGAAACAGGCCAGAGGTGCGGGATGCTGTGGGAAACCTGAGGGCTATGCAGGGGCCCTTTCCTGGCATTTGGGCAGGTTTGTCAGGACACAGGCTTGGGGCAGACACCAAGTAATGAAAACATGACCTATATGTTAGAGTCACTTTTAGTTGCATGTAGACAGTTACACAGGGATGTAAAGAAAATAGGCGTTCTGCTTACCCACTAAGTCAGAATGTGACGACCATGCCCACGTCTTGCTCCTGCTGTATACCTGTCTCGCTGAACCATGAGGAGGGAGCACAGTGCGGTGGGGACACAGGGAATCTGGTCCAAGTATGGGTCTGTCCATTAGTTCCATCTTCTTCCCCGAAACTTGGCCAGGACTCTTGTTGCAATTCAGACTAATGTGTATAGAGAGAGGTTATATTGGAGCCCCTGACAGAAAGACCCAGGGCCTAATGTGCCTCAAGCACAGCTAGACTCAGGTGGTGGAAAAAAGGTCATCAGACACCTGCATTTCTTCTTCTATAAGCTCTGCTCTTCATCTTCTTCATTCTCACAGGGGCTCCCTAACGTTGTGGCAAAGTGGCCATGGACGGCTCTAGGCTTATCTCCTACCAGCTGAAACTCTCCAGGTGAAAGGGGGCTTCTTTCTCAGCAGTCTTGCCTTGGTCTGACTTGAGCCATGCCATTGCCTCCTGGCTAGTCAGCCCCAACACACAGGCTGCTCTCTGCAGTGCAGGGGTAAGATCTGTTCCACCCAACACTCATGGGAAAATGGTGCTGGAACAAAAGAAGGAGAGACTCATGTTGGGCAGGCAAAACCTGCCCCTATGGTGTAACAGTGCCCTCCTGACAGCTCATCGGTGGTAAGGATTGAGTGGGAGAATACACACAAAAAGAGCTGTGTGTAATTAGATATTGTCTCCTGTGGCCTTTTTTGATGGTGTCCTCTTTTTCCCATCTCCAAATTCAGTCTACTTGATAATAATGTGTTGTTTTGAACTTTTAAAAATTATTTAGTAAGATGGGAGAGCTAGTAACGTTCATGTGAGATTCAGATTTCTGACTGTTCTTGTAAAGGTGACAGAACCCAATTATGGGATTCTTCTTTACCAGAAGCAGGCACTGCCCAGCCGACCCTCACCTGGCCTCGGGTGACATCTGGGATCCTCTTCATGTCTTTAGTATTTCCACATTCTCTTGTAAATTAAAAAAGGAAGAAACTATCCATCCACTTGGAAGAAAAGAAGATTGAATACTTAACCTCTGACTTAAGGAAAACTGATACATCACTTTCCAGATTCCATAGAGCTAGGAGGGATGCCTCAGTGCAAATCCACCCGTGCAGACCTCACCTCAGTTTTGATCAGCGGTGTTATGTTCTTTAAAGGTGTCACACTGCCCTCTGGTGCTCAACAGGCTAAAATGTAATATCTCAAGTGGCCACTATTCTCTTTCTATATTCTCTGAATAATCAAGGTGAGAGAGTGAGAGAAGGAGAGGGAAGGAGGAGGGGGGGGGGGGGGGGGGGGGGGGGAATCCCTAGCACATGCGAGAGAGAGAGAGAGAGAGAGATCATTCTATCTTAAAAATCACTTTTAAAATGTCAGAGGTTTTTAAGCCCTTGAGGGGCAGAATTTGTCAGCAGGACCCTGGGAGACACTCAGCTACTCAGCACTTCCAGCGCTTGGGAGAATGTGGAAACCACTAACAGCTTCCAAAAGATTAATACTCCTCAATAAAATGTGTCCCCCAAAGAAGCAACAAGACCCAGGCATGCAGTCTTACAGGGCCTTCTTTGAGATTATGCGGAAAATCTTTAAACCAAAGAAAAATAACAAAGGATGCATCACATAATGAAACAGTGACCACCTAGAACCCACACCAGGGTCAGATCCTACTTTAATGGGACCTAAAGTATATATAATTCAGAGGGCCCTTTTAAAAAAAAGCCTAAAACATATCTACCTTTGCAATTTTATATAAACCATGAAGAGCCTTGTAGGCTCTAGCAGAAGCTTCTGGCCTCTAAGTAAGTAAGGGCCCCTGAGAGTTAAATTTCATAGTTTCAGAGAAATTGGCCTCGGATACCAAGGTATCGTTTCACTGCAGCTTCAGGACTTTTCCTTGAGCGTTGTAACTCGCAGAGCCTTAATAAATTAGGGAACACAGACACACTCAATAAGGTGGTAGCATTTTTTGTGTTCTTTATATCCTCTGACTGTTGAAAATTGATCGTCTTTGAACCATTCGAGCCAAATGAAAGAAAATCAGTTTGTTTATACAGAAACAACTTTAATGACTTCAGTTGTATGTGGAAGAATTATAGAAGATCAGACGCTTCCGGGAGTCTAGAGGAGATGGTGAAAGAATTAGTGTAACTATTTTAAAAGGCTGAATCCTGACACTTGGTCTTTATGTTCAGCTCACTCCCTGGAGAGGACAGATTGTGTTCACTGATCACTTGTAAAAATCTAGATGTTAATCACTAAGATTACAAGCCAGTCCAAGTGGGAAAAAATCACCTAGCTTTCACAAAGAAGAGGTTTCTAAGATGCAGAGACAGAGAAGCAGCGATCAGACTGTCAAACCTCAGAGGGAAAGTAGGGGAGGGTGGGGGTTAGGGGGAGAGATCAACCAAAGGACTTGTGTGCATGCATATAAGCCCATTCAATGGACACAGACAACAGCGGGGTGAGAGCATGAGTGAGGGGGGGGTTGGGGATTAATGGGGGGATGAGCACACACATGTAATACCTTAATCAATAAAGAAATTAAAGATTGAAAAAATAATAATAAATGGAATTATATAATATATATAAAAAAGAAGCGGTTTCTATTACCCAGAGCAGAAGATGACATTTTTTGGATACTAAACATAGGAAATAAGTTTTTTTAGAGCCTGGACGGTGTTGCTCAATGGTTGAGCTTTGACCTATGAACCAGGAGGTCATGGTTCAATTCCCAGGTAGTGCACATGCCCAGGTTGTGGGCTCAATCCCCAGTGTGGGGCTTGTGGGGGGCAGCTGATCGATGAGTCTCTCTCATCATTGATGTTTCTATATCTCTCTCCCTCTCCTTTTCTCTCTGAAATCAATAAAAAATATAAAATAATTAATAATAATAAAAGCATAATATGCTAATTAGACCAGATGTCCAGAAGGACATTCTTCTGTCCTTCCAGACAAAGCTGGGGCTATGAGGTGAGCCCGGGTCCTGGGTGCCAGAGGGAAGCTGGTGCCTGCAACCGAGGGAAGGAAGGCCTACTCTTGCACGAATTTCGTGCATCAGGCCTCTAGTAAAGTAATAAAATAAAAAGTTTCCTTAGATGAAATCTCAAGCAGCCACTTAATCGCACATTACTTTAATTTTCTGAGTAGTACATAATGCTCTCAGATATTTTTTCTTCTCCATTTCTTTATTTATCAAACATTCTCTATGTCTGTAAAATCCGTGACCACAGGGCTCTTGCCTATATTGTCCCAGAGCAGGGCCACTGCATCGTCCAGAGCCCAGGGCTGACCCTGGCACAGAACAGTCCTCCACAGTGCTGTCCTGAATGAACGAGCAAGTGTTTTGTCAGCCTGTGCATTATTCTCATTTGAAATATAAGATGAGAAATGGAAAGATTTTGTGTTCCATAGATCAAAGTACATTTACATGAGCAGAGCAGTTTCACTTTGACGGATGACTTTTTCTGACTCAGTTGATACTTGTGGACTGATTGAGCTTAGTCATGTCTGTGAAAGTCAAACCAGTAAAACAGAGAGACAGTCGGGTCTTCTGATTTCTGTGCCACATTCTGTGTGTGCCATTTCCCCGGCTCCAAAGCCACTTCCTTCAGACTCCTTGTGCTAAGTCTGTGTGCTGTGACAGTGTGTGTGCTGTTTATTATTATTATTATTATTATTGTTATTATTATTTTTGTAGCATTCAGCGAGCGTGGCGCGAGTACCTGCAGCGGCAGGACCCCCTGGAGAAGAGGTGCCCGTCCCCGCCCTCCGTGTCCTCGGACAAGCTGAGCAGCTCCGTCAGCATGAACACCTTCTCCGACAGCAGCACACCCGTGAGTGCCATTTTCCTCTCCATGGTCTGACCGGCCAGGCCAATCCCCTGATCACCGGGGCCTTGGCTCCAAGAGAGCAATCTTGGGATGTGAGCGGGTGGCTTGTGATTGGAGGACGTCCATTGCTTATTTGCTGAATGTGAACCCACGGTGAGGGTTTGCTGTCGCCAAATGAAGACATGATTCATAAACACAGAGTATCAACTCTGAGGGAAATGATGCCTTGGACATCAACCTCATTTATGTGTTTGCCTTCCTCTATTACCGAGAGTACCTTCCTTTTCTTTATAACAGCATGCTCCATTTAGTCTGTGCCTCTGGTGGTGTTTTGTGGTGCTAATATCATAGGAGATTAGTTTGGTTGTAAAGATCATAAAGAGAACTTTTACAGAAAGTATTGAAAAGGATTACTAACTCAGAGGTTACAACTTGAATGCCCACAGGGGCCAGGTAAGTCACCCGTGTGACTGATGGGGGCCGAGTGTGCGCTAACTGAAGGACACAGGCCTCCCCTGAATGGCAGCCCCGTGGAGCTCCTGGAAGTGGGTTGCTGTGTAGGGATACAGGATGGCTCTTGTCAAAATTCATCTTCTTTCTTCAGGGGAGGCCAGAAATCCAGAATTTTAAATGTCGGCAACAAGAAAATTTAAAACATATCTAGACCATGTCTGCAGACCACACTTGTTCCAAGGGCCACCAGTTTAAGATCCCTGGGTACAGAGTTAAGGAGAGGAACAACCTGCTGGAAGTCTCTATTTAAACAATGACCACAACCAAGTGTGGTAGGAAATAAATGATTAGGTGATTATAATGTAGAGTTTTGCAGATTTAGCCTTTGTCATAATTTATGAATAGTTACTGGAATACTGGAAGAGGGTAGGAAGAAAAATGAAGTAACTATCCAAGGGTATTATTTTTTAAAAAAATATTCCTTAACAACTTTGTAATCCTCTTATTTGTCAAAAGGTTTCCCAACAGCCAAAATAATGTAGTCACATTGGGAGCACGCAAAGGTTACTTCGAAATGTTTTCAGATGATTGCATTGTGTATTCTTTAATGAACAGTTTTATCTAGTTGTTGATTCTAAATTGAGTTTATAGCTGTGCAAATAACAGTGGCAGAAAATCCTTTAATGAACAGTTTTATCTAGCTGTTGATTCTAAAGAGAGAGCAGTAAGTTGAGTTTATAGCTGTGCAAATAACAGTGGCAGAAAATCTATTTTTAGCTGTCAGCAGAAATTGAATACTTAGTGAATCGGCACTTTTTAAGAGAGTTTTTGGGGGGAGTGAATGGTCTTAGTTGCCCTTAGTATATCACTAGAGGGCGCGCATGAACCACATTGGAAAATGGTTGAGTTCAGTAGAGTTTATATTTAAGTCTTGATTTGAGAGTGAAAAACAATGTGAAAATTGAGTGTTTGGGATACCTTCTCTGTGAAGGTCAATAGAAGGTGAAAGTTAAAAGGCTTTTAAGATTCTATGTGAATGATGGACACTCAATCTCAGAAATCAGTGCCTGTGGGTTTAAGTTTGTGTTTGCTCTCCATGCACTCCCACCTTGGCTAACCTGTCACAAACAGATGCACTTCCTCTAATAACCAGCTGACCTGGATGACTCCCTGTGCTGAGCAGAGAATGAAGCCTTTCACATACTTCTGCTCCGATTGTTTTGGTTACGCACAATGGTTAATATAGATTTAGAATAGTTCTGCTTGCCCTGCTGGTGTGGCACAGTGGTTGAGCATCGACCTATGAACCAGGTCACAGTTCAATTCCCAGTCAGGGCACATGCCCGGGTTGCAGGTTCGATCCTCAGTGTGGGGCGTGCAGGAGGCAGCCGATCCATGATTCTCTCTCATCGTTGATGTTTCTATCTCTCTCTCCCTGTCCCTTCCGCTCTGAAGTCAATAAAAATATATTTAAGTAAAAAGAATAGTTCTGCTCTACAACATATATCAACAGTAATGTCTCAGTATGAGCTCCCAAATTCATCATCTTGATAAGAACGGAGCCCTTACTAAATGCAGGGTACTTTGCCCTGGCTGGTGTGGCTCAGTTGGTTGTACTCCGTCGGTCACCTGCCCAGGTTTTGGGCTCGATCCCCAGTGAGGGGCTTGTGAGAGGCAGCCAATCGATGTTTTGTTCTCACATTAATGTTTCTCTCTCTCTCTCTCTCTCTCTCTCTCTCTCTCTCTCTCTCTTCCCCCCCTCTCTAAAAATCAATTTTAAAAATCTTTTAAAAAAATACCAGATACTTTACTAATGCTTTCTGTGGATTACTTCATTTAATCCTCTCAATGACCATATGAATAATTATTATCTCCATTTTACAGATGATGAAAATGAGACTTAGAGATATAATTAACTTGCTCTGGGCTACGCATCTGACTGGAGCCCACACACTGCACTATTCTATCATACTGTGCCACTTGGAAAAAAGACTGTTTAGACATGGTCAAGCATTGGAAGAGACAATCAGTTAATGAATTTTAAAGATTATTTTACAATTTAATAGGTATAAACAGTGAATTAAATAATTGAAAAGAGAATCCTTGCTTGATTTTGTAAATTGCCTAATTTAATGCTCTTTGATTAAAACCTCAAGCCTCAGCTGCTCAATGCCAAATTGAAAGAGCAACAGGAGGGAAGATAATATTAAGTATTATTAGCAATTTGCATATTAAGTACCATTATACCACAATGTATCATGCGGTAACAGAAAAATTTGTTTTTAGAAATAGCAATCTTGAGCCTGGCCTGTGTGGCTCAGGTGATTGAGCATCGACCTATGAACCAGGAGGTCACATTTTGATACCGGTCAGGGCACATGCCTGGGTTGTGGGCTCGATGCCCAGTAGGGGGCATGCAGGAGGCAGCCAATCAATGGTTCTCATCATTGATGTTTCTCTTTCTCCTTCCCTCTCAACTTCCTCTCTGAAATCATTTATTTTTTAAGAAAAGGAACATGGTATCTATTTTAAAAAAGAAATAGCAATTTTGAATAATAACTGTTACCATAGGTATCAAAATGAGAAAAAAGTAATTAAAAATAAAAAAAAAACACTAAAAATATTGTGATTGCACCGAGGAGAACGGTGGAAAATGCGTTGTGTGCTTTTCATTAATCAATTTCATATGACCAAACACTTATTCTTTTAGTTCCCAGCTCTGAGAAATCTGTAATTTGCCTCATAGGATATCATAGAAAGAAAGTATAGTATGATATATTCTAAACTAGACTGGTAACCTTTTCACAAATAATTCGCCTACTCCTGCAGATAAATCCAGAAAAATCTTTGAATTGTTTGGAGACATTCTCAGTCCCATTTGGCTTGGATTGGCTCCATCTCCCTCAGCCTTTCTCCTGGCGATGCCCACTTTCTGCCATTGGTTCCCCATATTTTATGGTCTGGCCTGTAGGGAGCAGTGTGGCTCATAGAGTCAGGCCCCAGACCACCTGACTTAAAATAGCAGCTCTCTGCTATTTTTGTGAGTCTAAGACATAATACCTGACAGGTCCCTCTTCGTCGGCAAACTGGAAATAACAACCATCTCAGAGATGAGTTAGAGTCACTGTGAAGATTAAATGGCACTACATATGTAAAACAAGACACATGATGCTTCTCCATAAATGTTAGCCCATTCTGAATCTGCTCTTAGAAAACACTCCATGTGTTCAAAATGCTGAGGAACAGTTGTGAAGAACAGAGGTGGAATTTTTAACTTGATTCCAACTGGGGAGGCACAGTGCCTGTTTCTGATTCACCAAATGAATCCGTGAGAATCAAATTATCCCATAGAATATGAGTATATATATACGTACATACATACACACACACACACACACATGATGTGTATTCAGAATGTGTATGTATATTATGAGATTGGAGCTGCACATTATAAAAGTAATAAATTAAGCATTTATTTTAGTGTTGCTCCTTTTAAAGACTAATTTTCAAGATCCAAAGGTAAAACCAGGTACAAATCCTTTTGCCTTTAAATGAGTGGCCTCTTCTGAGAGGCCAAACCTGTATACTTAGTTAAAGCAAGCCTAGATCATTTTCTTCCCTTCAGACCTGAGGAAGAAGACATGGGAGGATCTGTAGCAAGGTGGGGAGAATGGGGCTACTTGGCCTTACCTCTCAGGCAAATCAGTGTAGGAAGTGCCATTCCAGTAGCTGCACACCCCAGCCTCCAGGTCTTGATGCTCTCCTGTTCAGGAAGAATTGCAGTTCTGAGCGGGTTCAAGGGCAGTGGTTTGGGCCAGTTGAAGACCCCGTTACCTGGAAAGAAGGCTGTGGAGCCCTCATATCGATGGCACTGATTGAGTGGTCCTGGCTTTTAGCAAGAGTAGCTGGGTAGTTAGCAAGGGGCATCCAGGTGGCCCACCAAACCTTCCCAAGTATACTACCAAGAGCCAGCACTGCCCATCTGCCAAATGTGCATGTGCACCTACATTCAAACTCCTTTATTAGCCTTCAAGTTTTATTTCCTTTTTTTTTTGAGATTTACAATTTCCAGGCTTTAAACACATCAGGAAAACTCTAGTGACTGAAGGGAGAAAGTATTTTTACAAAGTCGCACTTGTTTTTGGGGGGAACTCAGGCCCTAAAAGGAATTCCCTGGTACCCGTTCCAATATAACCTTGAAAGCTATAAAGTTATAGAGAATGTAAGCCTTGTGCTACCTAATAATTTAGTAACCTAGATTTTCCAGGTCACAACCAAGTTATAGTATTATGCCCAGCTATTGTTATAAACTTAAGCCCCATGAGTTCTAGTGTCTGAGCACCCCAATTCTCACACCCCTGAATAGCAAATTCTTTGTTAGTCTATTTGTCTTAAATTTTGGTTCAAGGAATGCAGTATAGAATCATATGTGGAACAGAACTGGATCTATTTTTCTTTGAACCAGGCACTTACAGAACCAATGTTTTCTCTTCACAAGTCTTAGAAATGATATTATGTGACATATAATTATATATAACAGTTTGAATGAA